ATCAATGTGAAGCTTGAGCTGTGGGAGGGACTCTTCGGCCCCTCCAACTCCGGAAATGCTTATACTTACAATTCTCTTCGAAGGATGGATCGGTATCAGAAAAAGCTTTCAATGGCTTGAATCCTACCGCGCCAGACGAAAACGTTTATCAAGCTGTGAGTCACGCGTCGGGATCGGGATGGGAATCGGTGTGAAAAGAGACAGCCTGGAACGAATGGATTTCATACATCTACGGAGAAAGAGTCATTCAAAGAAGGGAAACACGGAACCTGCGTCTCATCCGCGTGGATACATATCAAGTATCGAGAATGAAGCCCTAGCTCGCTGGTGATTCCCGAGGGAATTTCCCCCTCCCCACGGAGTGTAGGAAACAGCCTGGCGGATCTCGGTGTCTATCGAGCTGGACGAAATCATGAGGAGCAAATATTTTTTCCGATACGACTGATATCTATCTCATGTCCGAATTTCGCAATGGTGCTGAGCGATGACTTCTTCCCGGTTCACATGGAGTTCTGATGCCATACCTTCCCATTACATGCCAATTCTGTTCGTGAGGACGGATATCGTCAGGGCTCATCTGTTCTGCGGAGTCATCAAGTGTTTTGTTCATACAGGGAATGAATTTCCAGTCCAACGTCAAGTCAGTCTCTAATTATAGTCTGCAGCAACCATGTCTTTTGCTTTCGTGATTACAGCTCCTTGCTTGTCTTGTGCCGGAGCAAAAAAATTTGAAAAATGGTGTACGCCCAACACGGTACGCAAGGCAGCAATGAATGCAGCCACATACGCTACAGCTTGAGCAACAACAATGCACTTCATTTGAATTTGAGGCGTCGAAAGGATACCGTTCAAGCCGGTACAGGATCGCATGACGGGAATAACGTGGATACAGGAAGGTGGGATTCATCCGCGCACCAACCGCTTGGGTAGCTCGACCAGCTATTTCCACAGTCATCCCCGTATTCCCTGATAGAGGTACTTGAAGCTATACGCGGGGTCCGATATGAAGGCACGGCCGTCAGCCCTGAAAACAAATTGGAATCACTGAAAAACAATAACGTTTCCAGGGTTCAAAGAAGTCTGTCTCCCTCCCTTGATGGAGGTGTGCCGTTATATCCATGTAGTGGTAGAAAATAGTTCAATCGTTCGCCCGCGTGCCGGCTCATCGATGAATCTTCGGATTTAGATCATCGGTGTAAACTCGGGAGGGATTACATCGATCCGAGCATTGAGCTCCGGAGCCGCAAGTCCCTCCCGGAAAACTCAGGCTAGAGCTCCTGAGGATCCTCCCACCAAAGGGGTGTCCTCCACAAATCATTGAGATGATTTATATCAATCGGAACTTCAGCGTCAAATGCCCCGATTTCAGAAGGTCTACGATGCTTAATCCCAGTTTCCAAGAGCGACGCCCACGAGGAAATAGCCCCGGGCAGAATCTTCTTCTTTCTTCATCTTCCGAGAAGTCGGTTCGGAGAGGGTCTCAAAGAAAGTTCGGGGTAGAACTCGTGCCGCCTGATGGGTGACGCAAGAAAAATAGGATTCCATTCTTGGATGCGACGAATTGAAAAGTTCGACCGGAAGAAAAGTTCAAGCATCACTGTTCTTAGCGATAGGAGGTTTGAATCCCTTCGTCCAGGAAAGTTGTTCCTACTCTTCTTTGATTATTATACACGACAAAAAACAATTTTGGATAAACCATTTGCCTTCGAGATCCAGCCGACACCCGTTGTCGCAGGCAACTTTTTTGTTTTCATTCGACCGCTTCTCGGCGAAGCTGACGCCAAGGTCCACAAACACTCAATAAACAACATTTCGTCCCCAACGCAATAGATTCGAATCGAGTTCGAATTCCCTGCCGCGCGCAGCTATCGTTAGACGGTCCACTGAGGCAGTGGCTGCTGACGAGCTTACATTAACCGAAGTGTCGTATTGGCGCCAGGAATATATAAAATAGTATTCGTAATCGAAAACTCGGAACCGAATCCCAAAATGTCGGATGCAAAACAAGTCTCAAGTCAGCGATCAAAAATCGATCGTTGCTTGCGCAAATTCCGTTGTCTGATTTCCGCTGTCACAAAAAAAAACACAAAGGAAATCCAGATTGTAATATCAGAGAGGCGGAGGAACCCGCGCCGAAATAATCAAGTCATACCGAAAAAAAAAAAATTGAATTCGCATCCAAGTTCTCGTTAAGCTTCGGCTGCTAGACGCGCGACATATATCCGTGTCGGCGACGCGCGGCAGCGCCGTGTTTCAAATCGATGCGGAGTCACGCTTCCATACATCTTCGGCGGTGACCGATGCTTGGCAAGGTGGAGGGGAAGGTTGAGACGGTGGCGTAGACGAATTTCCGAAGTAGTCAATGATTCCGTAGGTTGGATTCTACTATTTGAGGATTGTACTTCTGGGAGTACGTAAACCGTGCTCCACTACGGAGCCCATGGAGGGTGATCGGTGATCACTGATCATTTCAACGGAAAACCTAACTGAACGATAGTTAGATAAGTGATGAATAAATGTCACAATGAACGAAATGCACGCCAGCATCCGGAGGGAGGGAGCTTGACCTTCATTGCGAACCTTGTCGACGAATCCGACGCAAGCTTTGAACTCACGGTGCGATTCCGTGCGACCGGTGCGCAGTCACGGTGACTTGCATCATGAGTGCTGAATATTAATCGAACGTTGGCCGTATTTCGTCCACAATTAGCTCCCTCGTGATGGGCCGTGTCGCGTGGCATCGGCTCCACATATGTGTCCAAAGCTCCATGGAAATCCCTGACTCCAAATCGAACGCCCTCGAAAACGTGGTCCGTCATGACAGCTGCCGTGCTGGGAGGCAGCTCTCGGAACGCTCTTCTTAAAATTTTCTATGACGCATTCAATCTCGATCATCCGTCGGCGGTCAAGTGCATCAGTTCGCGTGGATTTGTGGGCCAGGGTACACGGACTCGAGAAAGCATCCGCGTCGCTCGAGAGACCCGCGGCCGCCGCGCCGCGAGCGGTAGCCGTGAATGTAACCGCTGCGCCGCGGACTAACTGACGACCGCGGCGGCAGCGGCGGCGGCAGCAACGACAGCCGCCCTCTCCAGCGGCAGATAACGTCAATACGAGACCGAGCACTCACCGCGTCGAGTTTGCAAGCGGAGCTTTAATACGTTGTGTCGTGTTAACGAATACCGCCGGCCATTCGAAAAGCCACCGCATAGAGGCGGACGTTCGAGAACCCATTCCTACGGAGCCGGCTCTTTGATTGACGATAAACGAATCGTTGTGTAGAAATCGACGACGTTTTGGGAAGAATTCGGTGCATTCCCGAACAGCACAATCTTCGATTCGCGTGATTTGCAAGTCCGGTGGCACACATTGACAGTCGCTGTAACTGTGGTGGTGCAGGTGTCGAGAGGGTGGCTCACTCCACCGAGGGTGATACCCACTCTCTGAACGGGTTTCGAACTCGCAGCCAACTTTGGAAACACCACCCGCCGAGCCATCGGCCCATTACCATACATTCCTCAGGTATGCAACCGATCCGCACGGATCGGCTTTGCGCTCCGTCGCTAATCCGATGCCGTTAGTATAATTCTCAAGTCCCTTTCGGGGAGGGCTCCCCGTCTCCGGGGGGTTCTCAATGCTAAAACGCGCCCTACTCTCGGTTTGCGTCCGACGTTCTCTCCAATGCTCTGCAGACGGAAAGTCCAGTCCCTCCAGACCTTGACACTAGAATCACATGCTCCGAGTGGGTGCAATGCGCTACCTTAGTCGTTGTTCTCGTTCTAAACGACCACGATCGGCGTATCATGAGATGGCATGACATAATACACGGATGATAAATGAGGTGGCGTAACCCGGAGGTTGTCAAATTCCGGCTGTCCATCCGCTTTCTCATCAATTGAGTCATATTCGTTGCCGTCGCTCGACGCGACAGTGAATCATGTTCTGTGAAGAAATCCTTTACAGCTAGGAGATGTGGAGGAAACGCGACCGTCGTCTCGGAGCAGATTATTTAAAGCGCGTGGGAACGAGTGAACTTCCGCCGCTATCGAAAGGCTCGTAATTTCCGCCTCGGCCTTCATGCACAGTATTACGGAGGTGAAATATGGGAGAGGATAACTACGTGGAATATTCGCAAGCATCCCGTGCCCAGATTTTTAGCTCATAGCTCAAGGCTTTTAGTGTCAGCGGAAAATCTCTGACCAAAAGCCTTTCGGGAACGAACGGAAGCCCCCTTCCAATCTCTCGAAGGATTCCCTTAATTCAGTCACATCCATGATTGACTTATCGCTCGAGCCGTCATTGCTCGCTCAGAGGCAGAAAAAACAAGTGCTGTACGAACTTGTCACGATTTGTCTAAAACATGTGTCCGACTGGGCATCAGAGAACTGTGTCAACACGTGAGAAGAGATGTCCCGGGAACTCCATCGAGCTGTTGTAGCAGCAGAGAAAACAAACGCGATAAGTTGGCCGCTGGTAAGACTGCTAACCACCAGCAGCGCTCATCCATTCGTGTCGCTCTCGATGCATCGCTCTCGGATTAGTCGGCGAAACCCTTCGATCTAGGACAGATACTCCCACAGCGATGTTCGCTACTTCCACGGTCCCTATCATGCGAGAATCTTCCGAAACATTTGCACGTTGAATCTCCAAGGAGATGGAAATCTTCAATTCTTCAAGATGCAATCTCTGCGTGTCGTCTGCAGAGTTTGAAAGCTTTCAGCGTCGATTATCCCCACGAGTTTGTCGGAATGAGGTTGTCAGTATTGAGTCATCGAAGTAGATTTGGAACGGGAAGATAATAATGCAATTATTGTTAGTCGAGACCCGACGGACTCGAGAATGAACGATCCAAATGCCTTTGATAGTTTTTCCCGGTCATCTTCGTTCCCTCGGACTTATTAGGGATGAGCCGTCTGGATCACATGGCAGGAAAATGACATCCACCCCCCTCATGCCACCCGGAATCGTCCAGCCACTAAAGTCAGTCTGTTTTCGCTTTCCAGCCGCCGCGGGACCATCCGGTCGTTCCTGAGTGACAATGCAGAGGAGTGCGTCTGGTAAAAGATATAGTCCCAGCCAGCATCCTTCAGCGTCCTATATGCCTCTTCAAAAGAAAGCCCCCACATCTCCACTCGAGGTATGATCGAACACGCCGAATGGGAACCTCCCTCCTACGTGCCCTAGGCCTGATGAATTAGTGACGTCGTGTGGCTTATCGATACCCCAGACCCCCTCGACTCACCGTCCGGGGACTCCCCAGTCGAACCGAGGCATTCTGCTGGAAATGAATTTCCCCTTTCCCCAGGACCCAACAACCTGACTCTAAGCGAAATTGGGTTGCTGAGGAAGTTTTCGCCGCTCCTTCAATGCAAGCAATTCTTCTATTTCAGGCGAAACTGAAGAAGCCGAGACGATGGGGTTGTTGTCGTATCTCGATAGCTTTAATATCGTTCGTGTTCTTCGTAGCTTTCCTTGTGACCATCGCATACGTCTTCTTATTCACGGACCTGATCGGGCACCTCGTCGGCTCCGACAAGGGAATGGCCCAAAGTTCCCGTCGTAACTCTTCCGAAGACGTCTCGCGTCCCAGCAGCCCTCTGCCCGACACAGGTTCCATCTCTACAACAGCAGCTCCCCTGAGGGAATTGAATATCTTAGTCCTGATCGTAGACACTCGGACTCATATCATGGACAACGGGTCTTTCAAAGCGTCATCGGAGTCCTGGCGGAAAACCGAACTCGCGTGGCGGGATCTGTACGATAAGAAACAGATGACAGATCGTTTGAAGGTTTCGTTTTGCCAGGGTTGCAGACCCGTAGGTGTCAAGGACGAAGACAATACGCCGACCGTATTCTACACGGTGGAACATTTGAGAGGAGACACGCATTCTTACAATACGGTAGTCTTCGTCGCCCTACCGACACCACCGGGTGAGATTCTTTCCCTCCTGAAGCGTCACGGTCGCACGGACACGCTGGGAGAGATCTGTCAGAAAGGAACGTGGTCATCGACGGGTTGCGACTTCAAAGTTCCGCGGGCCAGAGACGTCCTCCCCGGGGAGAAGAAGGGCGTGTACAATTTCGCCATTCAGGTGCCGTCGATGACGGAGAAGGAGCTCCTAAACTACAACAAGACGGTGATAATGCAAAAAGACATGGATACTTTCAAGATCTTGATAAGTTTACCGATGGCGGTTCGGTGAAATTTCGGAATCTAGTGAGACTTCTGCTAGCTATGGATTTCTGAAAGAGTGATACACTGTATAGTTGTTAATTTATTTCTGCATTGCGACTTGAACATTGTACTTAATTCCCCCCTAACCTCAGAATGCTTGAGTGTACTGCTGAGCGTGTTGAGAGCTCAATGAGCGTTCTGATCGAGCGGTACACCGGTCTCGTTACACTGTAAACAAGAATTTATCTCGTTCCGATTATGTCACGATTCAGTGAGATTGCCGCTGAGCTTCGAGTGGGTTCTCAGCAAGCGTGACGACGACAGATGTGGAATGAGAAGTCAGGAGAAACATCCGAGTGATTTGATTTTTTTCAAAACTCATGCTACTCGAGTCAAACAATCCAGCCTGAGCTCGTCTGTTCTCATAACTCGACGTGCGCAGAGATCTTAGAAATTATGTTAAATTGTATCCCTGACGACTGACTTGATATGGAACTGAGATGGTGAGTCTCAGTTGTTGATGTGCATAATGAAACATCTGTATACTGAGAGTGAGAGTGTCGCAGTGTAATAATCATGAACCTCGTCCGAGGAGCTGAAAACCTGCTGACACCGAGTCTTCTCCGCGAAGATCTGAAGACACAATACTTGAGGGAGGAAGACTCTGAAATCGGAAGGGAATCGTAAGATCAGAATCTATTATTTATCCGTCGAGAGATTTGATGATTTCCCGGAATTTCTTTCCATTGGTCCCGAAGGAAATCCAAAGAAATGATCATTTTCGTTTTCCGGAAGTACACAGGGGACATGCTGAAGGAGCCTCTTCTTATTTCAGAGTCAATGTTTGTAATAAAAACGAGACGTTTTTCCAAGATCGGAATCTTTCTTCTGATTCGACATGGTGTCCCAACCCTTCACCGACTCCCCAGGATGATCGAGGTACCTCTGCGGCATCGCGAAAGCTTGTCGTTCTAGACAGATTGATCGAAGAGGGGAGCGACAACAGATGAGACTATGGGATTGTGGCTTGTGGCTCGTTCGGACGTTCTATCGGAATGGAAGTTCTAGGTCAGGACTAATTCCATGGAGAGGAGCGGGAACGACTGCGGTTTTACAGCGAGAACTCCATCGACATTTGTCACCCAAGCTTGCGTATCGCGTAGCCTCCACGTTGGCGCGCTCGGAGCCGTTGAGGCGGGCTTATTCAGCCGGCACGTGCCAGGCCCGCTAAGCAGCAGAATGCGATGAAGTTACATATAGAGGCAGTATACGGCGATCGATAATGAGCGGTGAAAATCATGTCTCCCCCAGGCGATCAGCAATCGATGCTGGAAATTCGTCCTCCTGCTGATTGTGAGTTAATAAACTCTGGCAGCGATTTCTCCCAAGGTCCATCCATCCATGGGCAGAACGACTAAGAAATGGAAGAACAGATGTATCGGAATGCGCTCCGAAACGCCGCCCAGGCTGAAATCATCATCTCCATTTCTTCATCGAAACATTCTTCTTTTCGGCCGCGGACGACCTGGCGGTAAATAGTCACCAGAGAAGGGAAGGCTCAGTGTATTGCAACGTGAATTCACCGCGAGCGCATGGCAGCGTTTAATTCCGTCTCCAAGCGCTTCCGACCGTACGTGGCGGTGGGAGTGATGTCTGGATTTCGCAAATCCGCTGCCCATATTAATCCATGGTTCCTCTCGGCCGTGTATAATACAGGGTGCGGCAGCACGGATATTCCGATAACGAACGCTTGTAAAATCGGATCCAGATGAGATATCGAAGGTCTGTTTGCGCCAAAATTCGAATATTCCCTTCCCATTTCACATGCGGTAGCTGAGAATTTGGTGACCGGAAGCTCTGAGATTCCCAGAACGAAAAACTGGAAAAATTCGACCAAGCCCGTGGAGCATAGGCCCAGGGCCTTCCTATGGAGCCGTAGGGAATTTCGTTGTTTCCCGCAGCTGGTGATTTCCACAGCGGCGAGCTATCGGAACCGCACCGATTCCATGTGAAATGGCGAGGGTTAATTCAAATTTCAGCGCGAACAGACCTTCGTTATCTTGTCAGGAAAAATTCTTACAAGCATTCGTAATCGGTACATATACGATGCCGCACCCTGTATATTCCGTATTCCGTGTTCTCGTATTTCGTGTGATCTCTCTTCTTTGACCAGCAAGAGGTTTGGATATTCTCGCTCCTGTTGGTGATTGGCGTTTCTCATTCTAGAATAAATCAGTATGTTCGTTATCAAAAAATTCCTTGTGCGAGAGAACGGGATTGTTGCCGCCGCGGTCGGACCGCCGGAGTCACGGAAATCCCCACTGGACACCCGGGAGGCTTCCCTAAAAATCTTATAATTCAACTTCCAGCGAAGATGCTCTCGAATACTATCGCGGGAACTTTCCGAACTTCAATTATTCTTCGCCGAGCGCAGATCTCCTTGGGGGAAATTGAGGATTTCGTCGGATGAGGAATTCGCTGAATCTCGGAGTCGAATCCTTCGTCTTGCCCTTTCACGTACCGTTGGCTCCGAACGTCGTTCTCGGGAATAGTCTCAACCGACTCCGTCTCCCTCCAGAGCCCAACGAACCGCCTAATTCGCAGACACCGCGATTGGAGCGCTCCAAGATCGATGGTCTCCGTCGACGAAGCGCATTGTTGCGTGGGACGGAAGCCTTCCGATATCGCACGATAAGGACTCGAACCGTAGAAAAACTCAGAGCACCCAGGGGCGCGTGACAGAAGCTCTCCATAACATTATCGGTCGAATAAGTCTACTCGAGTGGATCAAGTGGCCTCTCTATTCGATCGCCTCGGCATCTGCTGATTTCGGCTGGAAAAGCCGTCGCGAATTAGAAAAATCCCTCGAGAGCTCTCACTCGACGTGTCAGCCTTCCAATTACCGCAGGTCGAGGCGTTTCCTCCATAGACTCGCGGATCTCTCGACCGCGAGAACCCATCGGATGATTTCAATACTCCCCATGAGGGTTGTCGGAGCCGTAACCAGAGGGATGACCGCTATGCTGTGCAGGAATGAGATCATGTTTCCCTCGTCGGGTGGCTTACGGCGGAATTTACGGCAACCTCCCACCTTCGACCAGGGCGGGGCGGAATGAGATTGTGTCTCTAGCGGGCGCCTCAAGGACATCCTATCATTCTGTCCCCGGTTCGCAGACCTCCATCCCGTTCGCGGTGAGGCCAGAACCCGGAAAGCAGTCCTCGGACGCGCCATGTACTCGCTTAGTGACTTCCGCTCCTCTCAAGCTCAAAAGAAGCACAAGCGAAAAGCAGATGGACTGCGTTCGCCCTTTCGGCTAGCTCCCGAGACAGAACTCCAGCGAGAACAAAAGCTTCATTGGTCCTGTAGGAGCGTAGTTTTTGTTCTTCTGCCGAACATTCTCTGGTACTCGGTCGTGTTCTTCGGTCTCGCGAGGAGGCGAGATACGAGCTTCCGAGTGCAGCTTTGGGAGTGCTTCGTCGAAAATCTCGTCGGCGTCCGAAAATCACCCATTCCTGTGCCAGATCGGCTGACCGATGCATTGCTTTCTGGAGTTTGGAGTGATTGAAAGGTATTCGAACCCGCAAACGGTGCAGCTCTCTGGTCTCTAATGTAAGTGAGAGACTCTGCCTGGAGTTCGCAGTCTTATCTCGCCCGCGGGGCTTCGAACTCGATCCGGCGACCTCAAATCCCTGAATGCTGCGTGATCCACCGAAATCACTGCCTCGGGTAGCTTTCGGAAGCGCAGCGTAAACCGGGTCTCCAGGTGTGCCGCGACAAATAATCACCGGAGACCTCTTAGGTGATGCCTGCTCCTTCTTCGCCTAGCTGGGGGCTCTCCTAGAGGTCGGACCCGGTGACCATGGATGTAAGTGAGCAAGTTTCTGAGTGTCGCCACCTGTTACATTCGAGCTTCCTTCAGGTCAGCTCGGGATCCTCACGGGTCATACCTCCGCTAACCTGGGAATTCACTGATATTTCAATCGACGTGGAACTCACCTGCCGGAGCTGGTCTCCGGACGATTCCTCGAGGCAGGGAGGTTCAATTGATTCCTTCCTCACGGTCCTCGGTGGTTTGACGCGGCTCTCTTCCAAGGTCTGGGGCTCGCAAGCTCACTCGGTCGCATATTTCTTCGCTTCCATCTCTCAGGCCTTGCTTCCTGGCAAACAACTGAGTTTCTGCATATGAGCACTCTTGAGATGTGGGAGGAAGCATGTAGGTCAACGTGAAGATATTGATTAGCATTCTTCAGGAGTTCCAAGGGCTCGGCAGCTTACTCGGAGGTCAGGAAGAGAGATCGGTGCAGACGCATTGGACCGAGCGTTTCCCTACAGTGGATGAATGTGAGAGATCAAGTAGGGATCAAGCGTGAGGGCGCCTCCTCCCAGAGTGAACTGATGCTCCGGCGGTCAGGGAGGCGAACCGCTACACGAACGGGTGGCAGGAGAACCGATTCTGCTGCTTCAGTTGTGCTGGGAAGCTCCTTCCTCAAGCAATCCAACATACAGTCCCGTTCACTGGGGATTTTATGCAAGCGTTGAGTGTGAATCGTTTTTTTCGAAATATCATCTGAGGACGGGGAATGCTAATGTTGATTTTGAAAGTCCAGTGAAGGGAAATATTGGGCTCAAAGCCGAGGAAGCGGGCGAGAATTTGTTATCCTTCCGAGGGATACGCATTGACATGCGGAATTCCCGAATCAGCAGCAAACACATTTGTCAACACCCCTCCACAACATTCTGTGTTTGAAGCCGGCTCGGCATATGACATTCCCGAAATAGCATTCGAATTCGAATCAATGTCCGAGAATCTCTGGTGCTTCGCATCGTGGTCAAGCGGAGCTCACACTCCTCCATTGCTGGCTAGGATTCGGATGCTCACCCTCCGCAATACCCGTCCGGAGCTCTTTTCGGCATGCGAACGATTCGTGAGGCGGCTTCGGAGTTCCGCCGAGCAGGGATTTCCGACGTCCCTGCTTGTCGATGGCCAAAATCTCGAGCAATCTTCGCATAGTGAAGTAGATTAAAATCCTTCTCCCAGGCGAATACGAGGTCTGGAATGGGAGGAAACACTAATGAGAGTGAATTACGCTCAGATAGTCTCCGGTGGGATTCTTGGAAACAAGTATTGGGGCACTTGGACGAAGCCTCCTCGAACGTCCATGATTCTAAGGCAAGTGTCCACTTCCGGCAACCGCCGAACGATCAGGTCCGAGCAACAATTCGAACACAGGAAGTACCAGAGAGGAA